TTTTCTTTTCTTCCACATATTTCATCTGAACTGCTTATTTGTGTGGTTTTCACTCTTCTAAATAATTGCCATCTATATATATTGGTCTGTAATTACATATTTCAGCATATAGTGAATAGTAAAGTGAAAATGGCCGTCTTTGACATACACTTATGTGATATGATTATAATTTCCCACATTATGTAACTTTAATGCACAGATGTGTTTAGTCAGAAGGAAGAATAACTTCTGGAAACAAAATCCTAACTCACGCGAAAAGGAAAGCTGTTTGGTTTAGTTTCGTTGCTAATCATATATAAAACAAACTTAAAAGTGAAGTTTCCCAGCAAGGTGAAATTTCTAGTATCAACCCTTTTGTAAATTTGGACGTTGCTAGGTTTTCATTTTTTATTGAACTACACATTTAGGCTTTGAACTTCTACAAATTCTCTTATTTTCACTGTTGTATCACCATTTACAAGACATCACACATCATCTAACAAACATGTAGAGATTGTTTCATTGTCATTCGTAGGTGTGATTGTTTAGAGACCAAAGCGTGACTGAAGAACTCGGGGTAAAGTTTTTGTCACAATTTTTACCCTGAATTTGCAGAAAAATGTTGGCGTCAACATCTCTTTGAACAATGCAGAGAACAGACTAGTCCTTGCTCCCCTCGACGGGGTGTCACAGCTTCACAGATGCTTGTGCTGCACTTGACTCACCCTGCGGACAGAAACTCAAATCAAGGGCAGTCAGCTGAAACAAGCTGCATCAGACGTTTCCAGCTCTCTCACACACACACACAAATATCTGTGTACCCGTGACACATCAAACACATATTTCACACCATGACAAAACATTTATCGCACACAATTGCACTACATCTCTTTCTCTCTGTGCCCGCACACACACACCCATATACACACTCTGATGCCTAGTCTTGCTGCTTCAGTGCAGTTTCTTAATGGCCCTGCTGTCAGAGTGAGATTAATGGTCTCCCAACAACCACCATCAGCTTGCATTTCTGTCCACCTCTCAGCGTGGCCGTTTTTGCTGTCCTCTGAGCAGCAGACAGCAGGGGGAGTTTTGCGCTCAGTTCCTTACGGGGAGGGGGGCAAAACTTCCAAGTGAACGCTCAGGTTCCGAGAGTGAGCCCGGTTTCATCCCAGAAAGTTCCTCTCTGGCCCCGTGTCGTTTGAAGAAAGCAAAGCGACATGTGGACTATGGAATGTTGTTGTACCAGAAATGGCTTTAAATGACACGATAATGCTTGATCCCAAAGTGTTTTGTGCTTTGGCTGCTGCATCAGGTCGTCATTAGGCCTGCTTTTAAAATCTCATCCGTCTGGCCACTTAGCAGGTAGCCACAGGCTCACTTTACTGCTGCAGTGGACTCAGACAACATGACCTTATAGCATCCTCACATCTAACATATCCTGAAAAGCAGAGGCAACTGTCCTTTTCCCTTTGGAGTGTAAATCAATTTTTATTACAGCTACAGTGGGCTGTAGCCGGTTTGTTCATTCTCTTCACACTAAGCTCTTCTCCCCCACAGTCAGTCTGAATCAGCAATATTTCAGTGTTTTCCTGTAAGCCCCCCTCCCCCTCCACACATACTGACCACGCTCTACAGACCACGTGCTGAAAAATGCGGAGCAGGACTGACGCAGAGCACAGGACGGACATTTGGTTTTTCTCTCTTACTCATCACTTTGACGGGTCACACAAAGTCCTTTTAGTCACTGCTTCTCTGGTAAGCTTCAATACAATCTGCACGATCACACACTACAGTGACTCAGTTGAAAGAGAAGCAGCTTTTCTTTCCCATAAGGCATATCACTCTTGATTTATAGCCTGCGCCAGCGCTGCATTGTATATTGAAGAAAGGAATTCCTGAACTGTTATGACAAGGGCAATTTAGCAGGTTTGGAAAAGCACCAAGTTTGTTTCATGCATCTGTGCACAACAGCGCTGTTAGCACATACGCACACTGCTCATCCCTGATTGATCAAACGGCATATTCATCACATCTTCAGACAAAACGTCTTGTACGTTGTATGAGACAAATATTGTGTTATGTGTTTTTAAAGACTTTTTATAGCCAAAAGTAAAATGTTTGCTTGTTGCTCACTGCTCATGACAAATTAAAGACACCTCCTACCCTCAACATGGGGTTTGTTCATGACGCTCAGAGAAAGAACAAATTTGTGGCAAACAATTGTTGCAAAGACGTATGAACACACACAAACAGTTGTAAAGAGCAAAAATTGTGCCTTGCTTCTTCATTAAAGAGGCTGGTAAAACACAGAAATATAGTGGATAGCTGATGGTGAGATACTGGAATTCTTTCTTTGAAAATTTTTGCACTCAAGTTAAGGAAAAACTTTACCTTATCACATATGTATATGCAATGCCTATAAAAAGTGTTCACCTCATTAAAATATTTCCTTTTTCATTGCTTTTCACCAATGAATTGTGTATAAATTGGTCTGGCTTTTTTGACTTTCCAAAAAAAAAGTACTTTTCCAATTCAAGGTTAATACAGATTTCTACAAAGTCATGCCAATTAATTAATTATATAAACGGTAAAATAAGTTTTTGCGTAGGTATTCACCTCCTTCAGGTCAGTATTAGGCAGATGAACATTTAGCCACAACTTTACCTCATTCTTCTTTGCATAACTGCTGAGGCTCTGTCCGGTTACAGGGATCAGCCTTTTTCAAGTCCAACCACAAAATTTCATGGATCAAGGTCTGGACTATGACCTGGCCACTCCAGAACATTTCACTTGTGATCTTTTAAGCATTTCTGTGTAGCTTTGTATGTATGCTTCCGGTCATTGTCATCCTGGGGAAAAACATCTTCTCCCAAATTTCAGTTCTTTTGCAGTTTGTTGTACTCTGCTGCTTTGGTATTACTCTCTACCTTTACGAGCTACTCAGAGCCTGCTGCTAAGAAGCATTCCTACATCATGATGCTGCCACCACCATGCTTCACGGTGGAGTTTGTATCTTTGTGATGATGATGTGCAGTGTTTTGTGTCAAAGCAACAGAAAAAAACATAGCATCTAGTCTGATGGATTGAATGATGAATTTTCCTTTCTCACATGTCTACTGTTGAACTGTAGTTTAAATGTAGATTTTTTTCACAGTGGCTTTCTCTCTGCCACTCTCCTGTAAAGCTGTGACTGATGAAGAAGAAAAAACAGTTGCTTGATGCACAGTCTCGACCATCTCAGCTGCTTGTAACTCCTTCAGAGGCATCATAGTGGTGGCCTCCCTCTCCAGGCCCCTACGTTTAGCTTTGGATGACGCTCTGCTATAGCCAGATTTACACGTACCATATTCCATATCTTAAAGATGAATTTAACAAGTCCTCCAAAGGATATTCAGACTTGTGAGTTTTCTTGTGTCCATATCCTGACTCATGCTTTTCAGTAATCTTTTTACGGAGTTTCTGGAAGTGTTCTTTTGTCTTCGTGGTGTAGTTAAACCCAGGAGTACTGATTCACAGTTGTGTTTATACCACTGTCATTTGAGACCCATTCAATGCACTCAGATGTTCTCCAGTTCACTCATTTTGCAACTTCTAGCACGAATGCACCTGTGTTAAATTAGGTGAGTCACTTTAAAGGATGGGATGCTTATGCAATTGCTTAGTTCAGATTTTATATTTTTCATTAATTGACATTACTTTGGCTGCAAGGTGGGGCAGTGGTTAGCAAAGTTGCCTCTTAGCAAGAAGGTCGCCAGTTCGCATCCCAGTGAGGGCACCCGGGATCTTCCTGCTTAGAGTTTGCATGTTCTCCCCGTGCAGCGTGGGTTCTCTCCGGGTTCTCCGGCTTCCTCCCACACAGTCCAAAAACATGTTGAGGTTAATTGGTGATTCTAAATTGTCCGTAGGTGTGAATGTGAGTGTGCTTGGTTGTCTGTCTCTAAGTGTAGCCCTGTGATAGACTGGTGACCTGTCCAGGGTGTCCCCTGCCTTCACCCTGAGTCGGCTGGGATAGACTCTAGCCCCCCATGACCCTAGTGAGGATAAGCGGTGTATAGATGACGGATGGATGGACGGACAGACGGACGGACATTACTTTCTGAAAATCTGTTTGCACTTTGGAATGAGTCTCTTTTTTAAATTCCAAACAAAAAAGCCAATATTTATATATTGTAGAATGCATATGCCTGCCATATACACACCTCCCTTTTATTTTTGACTGCAATACTCATCATATACTCACTCGAACCGAGCTCTGAGTCTTACTGAGTTTGTCAGTAGCATGCTTACTCAGACACAAACATACACCCATGCCTATAAGTGCAACATGTAGTAAATAATCAGACATGACTTACCTCCTCTTGTAAACATGAGAGACTCTTGCTGTCTCATTTACAGTTTCACCCTCAGCATGCCAGCAATAAACCCTCTGACAAACCAGGGTGAAGCAGCAAGACACCAGAGAATTACCGCTGTTGACACATTGATTCAACGAGACAGCTCAGAGGACGTAATGCTGTGCAAAGATTGCACCATTAAACCTCCTAGCGTTGGCTCTATAGAAGTCGGCTCTTCAAGAGTATATGATTATTTCTTAGCGAATGTGTTTTGCAAGACCGAGAGGTAATTTCTGAATCCAAGAATGTCTCGCTGATGTGACCGTTTCAGATAACAGGCTTGCCAGAGCTGGCTGATTATTGACTTTTTCAAAGATTCATTAGTATTTCATGAATTTTTGCTACAATTTGTTTGTGTTTTTAGTTGTAGTTTCTGTATATAATGTTTCTGTATATAAATATTTATGTTGTTTATATTTACTTGTAGGATCAATGCATATCTATATCCCAATGTTTAATGCCAAGTTCTGAGGGATTAGTACCAAAATATTTGTTTAGTTTTGAGTTGAGCTGAAAAACTTGCAGATATGTTGTTATGACATATTTTTACTCTCCAGGACCAATATTTATATCAGCCTCAGTAGTGCATCGTCGGTCAGGCTCTAATGTGTGATTTGTATTCTTTAGGGTGTGGCCACTGCAAGAAAATGAAGCCAGAGTATGATGAAGCTGCTGAACTACTCAACAAGGGCGCAGATGTAAGTTTCACGACTTTTGCTTTTGTTTACATGTGTACAGCATGCATGTCTACAGGCCTGTGTGTTTTCTATCACACTCCAATAAACACACATTTAAACTAGCGTAGCAGTGCCTCATTAGCAGATCTTAATAATCCTCCTCTTGGCCTGAAGGCTGTTGGCCATCGCAGCTGAAACGCCGGTCAGTCTGTCCAACAGCTCAGCTCTCGATGTGTTTCTGATTAGTCGGGTGTGCTCCTCACCTCTCCTCTCTTCACCAATCTGTCCTCTGTGGTAATCTAACACTCCCTAGCCAGGGGCAGGGCCTATAAAACTCCAGCCTGGTGACTGTAGCAATTATCTCATCCATGAACGTCCCCCGGCCCGATGCTTGGACCTTGTCCTTGTGGCTTCCTGCCCGATACTGGAGGTCAATGGGAAGAGCCTGGCCATTATCTAATATGGATGGACGGGAGCCACTCTCACCCTGAGCTCTTAAGACCCAGCATATCATTTGTTTTTCTTCTCTTTGCTCCTCTGCTACTGTTACTGATGCAGTGCTTTTATATACACAAATAGTGTGCGCTTGCTTCTAAAGAAGTTGGTGTCATGTAGCAGCTTCGTCTCAGGGACCTTTCATGGTCTAATTGGAGAGATCCCTCTATGGCTATTATTTTACCCAAGTCCTGTGTAACTTAAAGTTTGCTATTATTTCTCTGCAGAGTCCCGGCGTGTTGGCAGCAGTGGATGCCACAGTGCACAAAGCTGTGGGGGATCGCTTCAAGATCTCCGGTTTCCCAACTGTTAAGTATTTTGAGAAAGGCGAGGAGAAGTACACGCTGCCACAGCTCCGAAGCAAAGACAAGATCATCGAGTTCATGCACAAGTGAGTCACGTACCTAACAGGCAGCTCAATCTGTTCTTTACAACAAACTATTTGTGTGCAAGGTTAGCATATTTACACAGGCTTAAGTCCTGACCTTAAACATTTTGGCTGCGCTCTCTGTTGTCCTGCACACCAACCAACTGTCCTTAGTTGTTATATTTAGTGAAGCATTGATTAGCTGCAGCACTGTGTTTCAAGACTTCCTCCCTCCATAATAGAGTAATCTTTGGAAATGGTCACTGGGAGAAGTAATGGACCTGCAATGACATCAGTCCAGCTGTGGCAATTACAGGCTCCATAAAGGCACAGTCTGCGATCAGAGGTCAACAGTTGTAATATTTTAGTGGGCTTACATAAAGTCTCGCTCAACGAGGGTTCGATTATATCACAGGAGTCATGTGGTACTCTTTTTTTTTTTTTTCTTTCTTTCTTTCTTTCTTCCTCTGAAAAAACGTATGTAAATGCAATGTATAACTCAATTTTTGCAGCTTTTATTACAATAAAGCAATGTTTTTACTCAGTGCAGTGCATATAATAGTTTTGTTTTGCTTTCTTTTCTGTGTGCAGTCCCCAGGCGCCTCCTCCACCAGAGCAGTCTTGGGAGGACAAGCCCTCGAGTGTGAGCCATCTTGGATCAGAGGACTTCCGAGAGGCTCTGAAGAAGAAAAAACACGCTCTGGTGATGTTCTACGCTCCCTGTAAGAACCTGAAACAATCTTTATGAACTCTACTTAACCCCTGTGCACATAATGGTTTGAGAAGTACTCCACTACACAAAGATCCGCTTCTGAAGAGTTCGTTTGTAATTGGCAGTTCATACAAACAGTTGAATTTCATGTGCTTGGCTGTTTTGATCGTAAAGCTAAGTCGTTGCAACCAAGTGTGATCACAGCTTCATTCTGTTGGATTTGGTGCGATCATATCCTGGATTTAAATCAGTGTGCATACGTAACTCGGAACTTCTTGCCAATCTCCTCGTTGCACAGTATACACACCCCACCCAAGCCACAGGGAGACTGAGGAATGATTCATATCGCTGAGAATAGATTTAACATGTTAAAAAAGAGAGAACAAATCACTGTTCCACTATTCCTAAAAAAAGGGCACTAAAGGTCATACCTGAGAAATATCAAAACTGATCAAAAATGCCATATGAGTTAGCTGTTACTGGCAACAAAACTGCATATATGTATATTTCTAGAACAGAAATTATTTGTGAACATGTAGCTAATTTAGGTCAGGGAACTTTTTAAGATTGTAGAATACCCCTGGTCCAATCTTTGCCACCACCTAACTCAGCTATCTAACATTTAAATGATACTTCTATGTAGAAAATTGCTGAAGTATCTGTCATTGAACCTTGGAAATGATTGCTGTAAGCATCTGAATCCCTAAAATTCCAATACCTACAAGAGCAAGAAACTTTAAAAACCAAGAGAATTGTTGGATTTTCAAGCTCAAATTAAAACTTAATATCATTATGTTTATGTCTAATCAAAATTACTTGATTAGACAATTTAAAAATCGCCAAAAATATATAGTTTGCTCAAACCATCTATCCATCCATTATCTATACACCGCTTAATCCTCATTAGGGTCACGGGGGGGCTGGAGTCTATCCCAGCTGACTCAGGGTGAAGGCAGGGGACACCCTGGGCAGGTCCCAGTCTGTCACAGGGCTTTAGAATCACCAGTTAACCTAAGCATGTTTTTGAACTGTGGGAGGAAGTCAGTCCTGGAGAGAACCCACGCTGCACAGCAAGAACATGCAAACTCCACACAGAAAGATCCTGGTTCTCCTCACTGGGATGCAAACCGGGGATCTTCTAGCTGCGAGGCAACAGTGCTAACCACCAATCCACCTTGCAGCCCTTGTTGAAACCAGGTTCTGTAAAAAAAAAAAAAAAAAATCCACTTTCCTTCACAAAATTGAGAAGCCATAACTGACTCGACTGGGACCAACAAATTACAAAAATGTAAGGGTTTTCTCTGTTGAACTGCAGGCTGTGCTTAAACAAAGCAGATAGGATGCTAATGTAGCTAGAGATGATGCTAGTATCTAGAGTCACCAGTTTTATTCCGTTTTATTTTATCAGTAACTCTTGTGTGAACTTGGAAACATGTTGCACATATTGATTCCATTTCTTTCACTTTTTGTAAAGAAAGTAAAGAAATTCAACATTGCTTTTCTTTTTTATAATGTATGGCATCAAAACTTTGGTAACATTCTTGGTTGGGTTGTTTCCACAGCCAGTAGTAGTACCAGTAATGGTAACATTTGTGAACACTTAGAAAAGTAATTCCATTTTTTTTTTCAATTTTTGTTTCTTTCAATTTTTTCAAAGAAATCCTACTTTCATTTTTGTATTGCTTTGTGGTATTATAACTGTATCACACTGCACAGAACACATTTTTAACATTTTAAGTTCCTTTTGCGTCTAACCACGGTTGTTCTGTTTCCATGGAGGTGCAGGACTTTATATTGCAGTGAAAAATGAGCCCTCAGTAAGCAAAAATGTGAGAGGAGCAAAAAAAACATCCAGAAAGCACTTGGGGTTCACAGGGTTAAAAAGGTTGGCATCCAGTGTCATAACACTATTCATCTGCATTCCCAAACAATGCAAAAAGGCAGTGGGGATATAGACTTTGCTTAATTATCAATGCACATCTCGACACAAACACATGCACCTCTGTCCCTGTTTTTTTGCCCTTTGTTTCTGATGAGGGCTTCAAAGGCAGACAGGGCTCAGCGGTCAGCCTGCTCCCTCCGTCGGGCCCTTTGGTGCTGCCTTCTACAAAGAGATGCTCCAGATGTACATGAGGCGGCATCAGCCTGCTGCCCTCCAATTCCGCCCATCCCATCTGCACCTTGCTCACCGGTGTCTTATTAGTGAGGGAGCTTGTGGTAATAGAGCATTTGATGACATACATCTGCTTTCGAAGACATCAAGGCTGGAGATGCTTCAGACAGAACAATCAATTTCTCTAACAAAGGCTTGGGTTATTAACTTTCAGCCTCAAATGTGTGTAATTGAGCCTAAACTAAATGCTGTATCATCAACAGTTTTTCCTGACCTCAGGCTTTATTAAGTTGATAGTCCCTTTGGATACATGCAAAGTTAAATTAAAGCATTATCTAATTTACTGAATACCCATTAGAGGCCATCTGCATAGCGTTAGTCTGTGCCAAACAAAACACTTTGGTGCACTTAATGTTAAGCTATATTTAAATAACTATGCTTTTTCTTCTGCAGTTTGCACATTTCAGTGAGCGATGGAAAGACGGAGTAATCAAGGCTGTTACAGCACATCCACCTGGCAGTTACTTTGTATTCATCTGTCTGCTTTTCGCTCTAATTCACTCTTTATCTGTAGCAGTAATTATGAGAAAGTGTGCAGGTATAGGAGAAATGGCAAGTCTCATTATCAACACCAGACCTGCACATTAGCTATTTTTTAAGTAGCTTAGATTACCAGAGATACAGTATATGAAATGTGAAAGGTGAAATTGTATAATTAGCATGCTGTGTGAAGCTACATCCCCCCTCTTTTTTTAAATTTATTTATTTTATTTATTTATTTATCCGCTCTCATTTCAATCTTGGGTTGTCACTAAGCAGCAGCAGTGACCTGCCTGGTCACCTCCGTCACTTTATGTGAGAGAAAAACATGGCACAGTGCAGTGTTTTTGACACGTCAGTTTCAGAACCTTTCAAGGCCATTAAATGTTGCAGGTAAAAGCGCACTTGCCGTTCTGAGCTGTGTTGAATGCTCTTAGAGAGGCAGCACTTAAAAGGTAAATGTATGGTTGTGGATTGTCATGTAACTGAATTGAAGGCTATTAGTGTGGACATGCATGCACTCATATTTATAGCCTGTCAAATCAATTTATAATGGAATCATTGTGTTAACGATCAACCGATGTGGGTTTTCTTTAGGGCTGATACGACTTACTAATAATCAAAGGGAGCAAGAAGTTACATTTATTATATTTATTCAAATTGTCTTTATTTATGTATGTTTTCTGTGCTGTATATGTAATTAAAAAATAACTTTTTCAACATTTAGCCTTCAGCGCTACAGGTCAAGTAATGCTCAATAGCACAGAGAAAGGTACGAAAGCAGAGGTAGCACATTTTATAATTAACTTATTTTATTGGTAATCAGTTTTAATGACCTGGTGGAGAAAATCTTAAGATCTTGGTTATAGCCAGGCTAGTTCTCCCAAACAGAACTGTATATATTTAGATTTCTACATTTCGATGTCATTTGACCCTCTGAACTCCATGCAGTGTCTGCATGTTTTTGCTCCTCTCACATTTTTACTCAGTGTAGGCTCATTTTTCACTGCAATATAAAGTCCTGCACCTCTATGGAAACAGCACAACCCTGACTAGACATAGAGAGAACCTTAAACTGTGCAGTATGATACAGTTATGATGCCATACAGCATTATGAAAATAAAAATAGAGTTTCTTTTATTACTTGTTTTACAGCAATTGAAAGAAAAATAAAAAAATGGACTAAACATTTGTGTCCACAGGTGTTGGCAATACTTGGTAAACAAATGGGGACTCTACATTCTATAGATTTTTTACGACTTACATTTTTTGGTTGTGTTTCCCAACAAAACCAAAAGTCACACAGGATTAGCCCAAGGACCATTGGAGAGTTGGAAGTCCAATCATTCTTTTCTGTTTTTACAGTTTCTTGCTGTAATAAATGTTAAATTATGGCATTATTTAGGCCTTTTAATTCTGCTGGTCGCTCTTGGGGTTTAGAAGGTTAAAAGACAGATCAGATTTATTTCAGTCTGCCGTATTGTCCAGTAATGTTACTGCTGTGACTCCATGACTGTCATGCTAACTTTGCACTCTTCACCTGTGTTGAAATATTTGGCGAAATGAGCAGCTACACAAAACACAGATTTTTTGTTTACTTTCAATCAGAATTGAAAACAAACTTTCAAAATGATTTATGTAAAACACTGCTTTCTTTGAAAAGCAACAAGGATCTCATGCTAATATTCTCCTGCTAAACGCTGTTTCACAAAGCCGTACAATGGAGGCAAAGAGTGCAAAGTTAGCACGACACCTAGAGCCATAATGGCCACAGAAATAGAAAATATGACCGGTTGTAATAAAGTGTAACTCTCCATTAAATTTAAAAGCTCTGATCTTGATTAATATTCTGCCTGACTATTTGGATGATCTATGTATTGGCTTCAGTCTTCATTAAAGCAAGCACACTGTATTGCCCTCCACGGAAAAGCGTAGTGCGGCATACAATTATATTTCCCATTGTGTTTAGCATTTTGTGGAATGCTCTGTCCATTTTCTAAAAAGCCTAAATGCATAAATTGAGATCCATAAAGAAGTAATTCTCCCAGTTTGGTGCGAAAGAACACCTTATCCTCATCCAGCACCTCTGGGATGAACGAAAACACCGACTGTGACACAGGCCTTATCTCCCAGCGTCAGTGTTGGACCTCGCTAAAGCTCTTGCAGCTGAATGGGAGCAAATCCCTGCAGCCAGCCTCCAAAATCTGGTGGAAAAGCTGAAACCAGAAGAGTGGAGGCTGTTGTAGCAGCAGATTAATGGTTTCGGAATTACATGTTCAAAAATGACAGAAGGGTCTAATACTTGGGTATCTGCACATTTTTGGGGTATGTATGTAAGAGGAGTTTGATCGCTGAAATTAAATAGAACAGGATTCTGCTCGTAGCAGCTCATCAAGGTTCAGTCCGGTTTAGCCAGAACCCTGTACCATGCAATCCATCAACACTGTGCGTACAGTTATCCCATAATATCACTTCCAAACTCACCAGCAGAGTTTCCATCAGCGAGGACAGGAAATCTACCACAGAAAGCTTGAGAAAGGGATTCTCTTTTAAATATTAAGACAATAATCCACGTACTTTCATAAAAATATTCTTTATTATTGACTGTTTTTCGGGGGCTGACTATCCAGTAATTTAACCCTAGTGCTGTAAAGCTTTTATCCAGTCACCCACAGACTTCAGCTGCTTTCTTCTCAAGAAGCCTATTTGTCACCATGAGAGGTATTCTTGTCCTTTTCACCTCTCTCATTTCACAACAGTGGCAACAACCGTTTGATTGCAATGAACGGCAGAAGAAGAACAGGGCACTTGACATTAGCAGCAAGAGAACAAAACAAATGAGTGGCTCCTGCCGAATGTTGAATGTCAACAGACATGGAAAGGAAAAGATGTCATAACAGCAGTCATGCTGTTTGATTGCCTGCGTAGTTCAAAAACGTCACTCTCTGATTAACAAGGTGTTGCCAAAATCAGAAAATGTTCTTCCCTCTCAGATTTATAGTTAGAAGACAGCCTGGTCAGCTCTGCGTATAGTTTGTCATCGTGCCTCCTCCTTGTGGAAGTTATCTGTAAATATGATCTACAGGTACTGGCATACTGTAAATGGATGGAAGTTAAAGTAGAAAGTCTGGGAGGCTGTGTTTACGTGAGCAACAAAAGATCTATAGTGTCGTATAACACACTAGTGACCTTGTTAGTAACTGCCTGTTTGCAGGATTGTGCCTGGACCACCTGCTTTATGAGCATGTTTGACTAAATTATATGTAGAAGTGATTTTGTTTATATTCATTGTGGAGTCGTGTTTGTGACATTAGCACCTGTATAAGCCTTTACTAAGGTCACGGAGCTACATACTGTGGTGTAAATGTATAATGATGATAGCTGTGATAACGTCCCATCTGTGTGTCGTCCTCCAGGGTGTCCACACTGTAAAAACGCTGTCCCCCACTTCACCACAGCAGCAGAGCTCTTCAAAGAGGACCGCAAGGTTAGTGATGCTTTTTCACATATTCAATTACACATACTTGTGTACCAAACAGTAACCATGTCGCCAACATCTGTCAAATTATGACTCTGCCGTGGTGAGAGTCGTAGCTGGAGGAATTATGTCTTCAGGTTGTTGAATGCAAAACCTCAGAAACCCTTTGAGGGTATTTCTTAGGATTTTATTTCCTTGTATTCCAGGCTGAACTGATTCATTTTTGGTTGTTAAAGGTCACTGTGGAGTCACTAAACATGTTTTTGGCCATAGCTTAAGAATTCATGCGTTAATTATGACAATTTTTCACACAAATGTCTAAAAGGAGAAAATGATGAAGTGATGACATTTTAAATCCAAAAGATCAGCTTCACTTTGTCGTCATAATGTTCTGCCAAACACTTTCCTTGACATTGTTTCTTTTATTTCACATGTGGTTGGGCACTGAATCAGTGACACTATCAGGGATGGGTAAAGATTTTGAAGGTGCGACTACTCCTACCAATACTGTGTTCATTTTTTTTCTGAGAAAAATTAAATTAAGAACAGAGTTAACATGTCTTTATTTTGTCTTTGTTAAATATCCTCTCGTTTCCTCTTCACCTTTAAATGAAGAATTGAATGAAGGACTTCCTCTTTGACAGTATTTTTATCAGCTTTATTAATAGTTGTAATTAAGGTAACAGAGTGCTTTTTCTTCCACTGAGAGGAAAAACATCTCTCTTCTGAATTCAGAACAGTAAAAATGTATCACAGGAGAATTGCAGACACGTAAGATAAAAATGTGCACAATGACTTTTATGTCGCAATAATAAATAGGACGTTTTTTCGTTTCTTTCTTTAGTTGTCCGGTCTTGAATGATCTAACTGTATTGTATCTTCTTCGCTGTTGTACGTTTTACAATTTTTAGGGTTTCTTTTGCAGCAACATGTATATTTGAAGCGTTGTCTGCTGTCATGGCTTCATCTTTGACCCACATATATGAGTCTGGACAAACATGGATGTAAACTACTTGACTGGTTGGCAGAAGTAAACAACCGTAAGGCAGTAATTGTACTTTCTGTCATGACCCACAGCCAGAAGAAAAGATCAATATTGATTTTATCCCTGTGTGTTCAGCTGCTCAGGCTGGAATATATTTAGCCTGGCTTAACAAAAGACTGGAAGGATGGAGTAGCTGTTAGTCTCTGTTGCCTGTAAAACATCATGGCATTCGCAAGATATCTTGAGTGTTTTACCTTTCGACCTAGCAGGTGTTTTTCATAGCAGTAACTTCTGCAAAAAGAAGTCAAACAAAAGACACACATTTTATCCAGCAAGAGACCTGGTCATGCACAAACACGACATATAAAATTAAATCAACATATTTCCATATTGTTACTGACAGAATTCAAATCATGAGAACAACAAAGTCAGCTGTACATCGGATAGAGTCTGTAGTGCAAATCAGTCATTAACATACCTCGTGCCTGTTGGAAGTTCTTCACTTGCAGCTGTACTGAAACCTGATAACCGTTAGAAATTGTTGGGATGCTGCATGTTGTTAATTTGCTCTGTAGTTGTTGGTCATGAAATATTTTTAATTATAATCAAACTGTGCCTAAAGCAAGGTCTTGCTCTCCATTGCTACATGTATTATGTGTACCGGCTTGTGAGACACCGCAGAGCTTGTTGCAGAGTTCACAAAATTATTCAAGCAATTTCTTGCTTTTAACAGCGTTTATGCCGAGTTATTCCAAACACACCCTGGACACATATCTGACCAGCAGTGCACTAACAGATGGGAAATTGATATCAACACTCTCATGTGACTCTGGGTAGAAAATTGATAAGATTATTTGAGTGTCAGACCATACCTGTAGTCTGCTTCGATTTAGCTTAGTGGCATTGTGTAGCCATTATTTACAGTTATTCTGTATGTAATGTGCAGTCAGATGTAATTGGATTCAAACGCCATAATACTTCATATTAATGCTTTTGTCCTTTGAACTCTGTTTCATATAACATAAAATTAAAAATTAGCACAAGTTCCTGCAGAGTGATGGCACTCAGATGTCTGATAACATCTTTAAACTTCAATAACTCACAACTTGAAACTCCTCCCACCTTGTTCCTCAAATTAGTCTTCAGCCAGGAGTTTGACCAGTTTGAGTCTCAACTAATCTGCTCATTTGTGGGGTGTTGAGGTTACTGAAGGTTCATGTCGTCACAACAGGACACACTCATCCTCATCCTCCATCATCCCAACTCCCTCTCATTACTTTTCCCTCAGGGACTCGTGTCCTGACACGCTCCCACTCCTGCTCTTCCTAGTTAATACCCTCTGACTGCAAGGCTTATTTCCAAACTTCCCTAACTGAGTGTGAGTCACTCTCAACACACACTCACACACACACACACACACATACTGAGAGAAACTGGGCACATTTCTGGCAATACTTGCAGCTACTATTTATCATCTCAAAGTTTCAAAAATCCAACAAATTGCTGCCTTTTGATTGGAAAGGCTCATGAAGATGTTCACCGTGAATTGTTCCAACAGCGCTCAGGCAATCTCGCTCTCTCATTTGTTTGGTATTTTTCAAAATCAATGTCAGATGGTGAGAAACAGTGACGTAGCCTTAACAACTTAGTCACCCTTTTCTTCTGAGGCAATCCTTTGTAACATTTCTCGACAATATTAGCAGATGAAACTGAAAATGTTTTTGTTCTCTGGAATGTTGCTCATCATCTGTAGCTACAGAAACTCATACATGCCTGTGTGGATTCTTTTATTTGTAAGTAGTATATGAGTGCATTATGGGTGATACAATTACTGCAGTTTTTCCAAAATGTACAATGACTCAGATGTACTTCAGTTACATACGTTTTCTTTGCATTACACATGGACATAATAACATACAGTGTAAAAAACTGACTGTCATAGATTGGCTATGAGTCCAACGTATATAAGCCTTAAAATCTCCTTAAGGGAACCGTAATTCTAAAAATGCCCACCAAGAAACACAGACCGTCGAGAACCGAACCACCTATTAAAATATTGACTTTGTATTTAAGTTGAAAAGTTGAGACTTTCATAACAGTCAGAAATGTTTTTTTGAGACTCGGTGTCTAGGGGCCACAACAGCTTCAGGCACTTTGGCATTGCTGCACCGCTCAGCTGTGGGGTTTGGATCAGTATCCTTGCGATAACACTTCCACAAGCTTCCTAACCAGGGGACTTTCATATCAGTGGAGGTTTTTTTTCTTCAATGCACAACTTTAATATTTCTTCTCTCTTGTCGCCCTCACAGCAGCAGGAGGAGGTTTTTACTGAATGGAGTAAATCTGCAAAGGGGGGCCATGTGTTTACTTGGCAGTCCTCTCTATTTATAAAAGCCGAGCCCCAGTGTATTATACCAAGCCGGTGTTGATCACAGTCTATTAGCTGCCCTTGCCTCATTTACCAAAGACAAACACGAGCTTAGCTGCGGCTTTGAGGACGCAAACAATTAAAACCCGGCATTGTGTTGTATGACAGCGTGGGAGCTGTGTTCAGGTTTTGTTTGTCTTTTTCCCCAAAATTCCAATCAATAGCAGCATTAAAGGTGCACAGTGGCTCAAACAGCTTGTTTCCAAAAGCTGTCTGTTGTCGCTGCTTTGAGAACACAGTTTCATGAGGGAAGGATTTGCCAAACAGGGCCTGAAATGTTGCTGCAGCTGCACATGTAGTCAAGTTGTGACTATAGTGCTTTGAAAAATCATTCTTAAGATGTCCCTGATCACATTCTAAATCAATTCATATGCATTGTATAGTGTGCATAAAGCAGAAGGGCTGCTTAAATACCCTTAAGGAGGATTTTAACTTCCTGGAGCATTGTCACTTCTTTAAAGCAACACATTTTTAAAGGTTCCCTGTGGAGCCTTTTGACCTCTGGTAGCGCTATGGAGCTGGCCTGAGTTGTAAGTTTCTCTTTTGTTTATCTGGTGCACATGGAAAACTGAGCAAATGCATGCGTGCACACTGGTGACGCAATCCACAGACCTTCCAGTGGTGTCACTCTATTCCACTGATCAACAGGTTGTGGTAAAGCCAATACATGCTGCAATGCTACAGCAAGGACTGGGAGGAATTTTAGATTTTGCTTTATTTATCTGAAGGATCTGTTGTCTTTTGAAAGCCGGGTTCAGTTCCTTGCTTTAGCAACTTGTTGTGTTGATTGAACAGCATTTCAGCCTTCAATATGTACTTCAATCAAAGGGAGCGTGTGTTACAGAACGTCTTGTCTCTTTAATCTGACTGATCGTGCAGGCCAGCTTATACACATTGATATTTACTGCTGTTAGGACAGGGAATCGTGTTGCGAGAGCCCCAGTACAGCTTGATTACCACGCTGCTCTTCAGTGTGACGCCAGGGAGATTGAAACCAGGCCAACTGGTAATATGCTGCTCCTCTAAAATTTTGCTCTCCAATCAATAACATGATGTGGGGTCCTGTGTCACTTGAAGATGGATCAATAACGGAATTGGCCGTGGATCTTTTAAGAACAACAGCTCCGCAAGTTCATTTTCTCCTGTCAATTCACAGCAACTCTGATTGATTGCACAGGGAAGAGCAGTTGGATGGCGCCTGTAGTTACATTATGTTGCAGCTGCTGTCTCTGCGGCTGCCGCTTTAAGTGCTCGCTGTGTCTCTCTCAAACTGTCCTAACTGAGAGCGTTTCAAATGTACGCCTTTGCATTGCAAACAGTGTCTTTCGGAGAAACCTGCAGATATATAAAGAATAGGATGATTTTCGCAGTGCTGTCAACTACATTTCTGTCGACTATTTGCCTTTTCAAAGGTGAATCACCTCAGTGTTGCTGAATGTGCACTGTTTGCTGCAAGTCTGTGAAATTCTGTTGTAGTGGGAGCACAATGAGGTCTAGTTTAAGACACTTGATTAACAGACCATAGAATAAGAATATCCCTTTATAGGCTTTGTGTTCTCCCCTGATGTGCACTCTGTTTCGCTTCCCTTTCTGCTCATAGATGTCTCTGCTGCTGATGCAGATGAGGCCAACTCTCTAAAGTGGTGTCTTTATTTAATAATATGTCGGCGTTTATGCAAATTCAAACATTTATTATTTGTGTTGTAAAAAAAAAGCAAGGTGCTTGTATTTTGTAATTAGGACAAGAAGTTTTCAAGTCACTTTACACTTGGATGCGTAGAGAAAGTGTCAAATATTTTTTCCCGTCTCAACGTATCTGTCATTTCCGCACTCAGCTCGAGCAGACAGATAGACGGGGAGCGATTATTTGATGGTGACAAGTTCAATGTGCAGCGCTCAGCACCCTGAGAGAGGGTGACATTTCAGCTGTCCAAAAGGACATGCTGAGTGAGCCATGTATCAGTGAGGCGGCATTTACGCCTCATTGGGACGGCTTGTCACTAATCGATGCAACAGCCACGCAACATAAATCTCCCTTGTTGTTTTTATGTTGGACTGATTGTTGTGGGGAGCTTTTTTTTTTTTTCTCTCCACCACCCACTTTAAGCGGCTTCGCTGAAGAGCAATGCATCAGTCATTTTTGTAATCTGAGCAGAGAAAGTAGGGGTCTAAATTCAAAGAGGGACATAGTGTCGAGGCTGCTCATTAGCAAAGCAGCTGAATACACATAGGCAATGACAGTTTTACAGTTGTGTTCTTCATGCGAGCAGCCACAACATTAAAACCACTGACAGGTGAAGTGAATAATATTGATTATCTTGTCAGTGGCTCCTGTCAAGTGTAGGATGTATTAGACAGTAAGTGAACAGTCAGTGACTCCTTGATGTGCTGGAAGCAGGAAAAATGGGAAAGTGTAAGAACTTGAGCAAGTTTGTAAAAGATAGATGACTCTGTCAGAGCATCTTCAAAATGCAGGTCTTGTTTGCTGTTTTTGGTATGCAGTGGTTACCAAAAGTGATCCAAGAAGGGGCAACCAGTGAATCAGAACCCAGGATTCATTGATATGAGTGGGGAGCAAAGCTGGCGTGTGTGGACTGATCCCACAAAAGAGCTACTGCAACATAAATTCCGAACAACCTTGATGCTGGCATTGATAGAAAGGTATCAGAACACACAGTGCATTGCATTGTTGCATATGCATACTTTTGTTCAGCGTGCTATGCTGACCCTTGTCCACTGCCAAATGTACCTACAGTGGCAACATGAGTGTCAGAACTTGGACCATGGAGCAATGAAAGACGGTGACTTGGTCTGATGAATCAAGTTTTCCTTTAACTCATGTGAACAGCAAGGTATGTGTGTGTTCTTTATTTCTGTAAAAGATGGCCACTATGTGTAGAAGGCAAACCAACAGAGACAGCGTGATGCTCTGGACATTGTTCTGCTGGGAAACCTTGGGTCTTGGCATTCATGTGGATGTTACTTTGACTTGTACCACCTACTTTAAAATTGTTGCGCAACACATGCACCCCTTCATGGCTGCCTTCTGCCTTTTACAGCCTGATAATGCGAACTGCCACACGACAACATTGTTCAGGAATTGTTTGAGGAACATGACTAAGAGTTCCAGGTGTTGACTTGAACTCCAAATTTCCCAGATATCAGTCTGATCAAGTATCGATGGATGGTGCTTTGAAAACAAATCAGAATTAAGGATCTGCTGGTAATGTCTCGCTCCCTGACACCACAGGACACTATCAGAGGGCTGATGGAGCCCAGGCCTCGTGTCATCACAGCTGTTCTGGCAGCATCAGGGGGACCTACACAATATTAGGCAGTTGGTTTTAATGTTGTGGTAAATTGGTGTATGCAAAGGTCTTAAGAGACCCTGAAACAATTAGCAATTAACCTCAAAAATAAAATATTTTGTCTGAATAAAAGTTGTTTAAATAAAATAACAATAAAAAGGTGAAACGTAATGATAAAAAATGAGCCAAATTATATATAAAGCTGCTTTCAAAAGGTTTTAGGAAGCCATAGATGTTGCACATCGCCAACTTTAATGTCCACAGGCATTGCAAATGAGTGCCTACATTAAACTTCATCATGGGTAACACTGTTTTCATTATCTAAGATAATGAAAGCAGTTTTTCCAACATGTATAAGTATCATCTTTTATGTACAGCCTGTGATAAATATGCACATAAGTTTCCTTTGTGTAACTTTTCCTCATAGATGAAAGAAGGCTTTCTCAGTAGTTCTAACCCATGAACAATTCATACCATGAAGTGCACTTATATGCCAACCACATTTTATTAAAAAAATGAATTGAATCAGTTCATCATTTTATTTCTAGTACTAAAAGTTACAAATTCCTTTTAATTAAGGTACTCTGCAGGACTTGAGATACGATCTGATATTGCAGTATGTCAAACGCCTCTAAAATTAGGTGAATCTAAAATATGCTGCATTATACTGAATATTAAAACACTGAAAATGAATGCGGTGCTCCTTTTCAGATTGTGTATGCTGCTGTAGACTGCACAAAAGGACAGAACCATGAGCTTTGTAAGCAGGAGGGGGTGGAGGGATACCCGACGTTCAACTACTACAACTACGGCAAGTTTGTGGAAAAATATAACGGAGATCGAGGGGTAAGTCATATTTAATTATGTAACTCAGTGCTTCTAAATCTACACTCTCACATATACAGAAAATCACTTCCAACACTCCAAAAACAAAGAACTGTGTTGAACTCTTCTGTGCATTACAAACATTATAAATGCCTGCTAAAGCACAGGGACAGTATACATATGGCATCTGTTTAAGCTAGAACCTCCCCACACTGTGGCCACAAAGAATATTTCTATATGCATGTATTTGTGGAAACACATTGAGTCTCTTCGTTTCTGGCAAAAAAAGAGCAAGTAATTAGAGTCAGTCAGCAGATGTTAACCTGCAGTATAGCTAACATCTGCTGACTGACGGTGTCTGTGTGTGGAATTTAAATGTTATTACCTCCTGACAGAGCCAACAACAGTCCGGTTAGGTTACATCTAAACAATATCTGGATTGAATTGTATGATGCCACAGCTGGTAGGAATTTTAAATAGTGCCGTTTCTGAAAGTGAATTGGTTGGACAGCGAATCAGCCCTGATCCCAGTTAGAGGCGAGAAACATTCTAATCATCATAAGAGAACCCATGGCAGCTTGGTGCTGGAGCAGGAAGTTACACAAATAAATGATTGTGAAGAGGAATTCCTGTGTAACAGTATTTGAGTGCACTGCAAAGGATTTTATTGTCACTGGGAAGCTTTGTTTTTCCTTTTTTAAATTAGGTATGGTTATGATCAGGTTTTTAGAGAAACTCAGTGCATATAAACATCATATCCTTTTTCAAAAAGCACTTATCTTCCACCACTTACCTGAAACAAATGGATGCTTTTTTTATATTGTCCAGCATTTTTTTATACATATATCTTGTCCTCTGTAAAGCACTTTGTATTTGTTTGAAATTGAAAGGAGCCATACTTGTAAACTTGATTTTGTGAAGCACATATTTGCTACATGGGAAATAAACGGAGACTGAGCTGGTACAACAAGATGCAATGCTGATCTACATGTCTAAATAAATTTACCCTAAAGTATTGAGAGAATAGAGCTGATACAGATATGAGAGAACATACAGGTGAAAAAGGTGCAGACAGCACAGCCTTGATATTGTTAAAGCGTATATACAGGGATATAAAAGTTTCTATGTCTTCAATGGAAATATCATTTCCTGAAACTAAATCAAATGTGGGATGCTGGAGTGCATGTAAGCATTCTCGCTGTTGACTTCGCTGTCTGTGTAAACCCATGAAGGCACATTTTTTCTCTCAAAATGTTTTGAGAGTTAACAAAAGTAATCTCCAGCAGTTTGTTGAGTAAAAGAGGTTGGATGTTAGCTGCACTTTCTCTCATGTGGACAGACGTATTATGTAGTGAGCCTTGAAGGTGCAGTCTATGATTCAGAAGAGTCTTGATATTGAGCGAGTTAGCATATTTAGATCATAGAGTATATGAAACAGGGAGGTGGTCTCTGGGTCTGAAAAGCAAAGTCAATCTGCATTCTCTCTAACAGCCAGCAGGGGGCGACTCCTCATTTGCAAAGGAAAAGCTTGATTGTAGGAAAACGACCCAATTTCTTCCTTGATTTTTTATCTCAGTAAACACTTTTTCAATTGGGTTTCTGGTCTCAATTGCAAATTTGAAGTCTTCTTCAATATAGCAAGGTGTTTATTTTTGTAAATTATGGTCCTATTTGCAAAAACCTTGTGATTGACCAGTTGCTACCAAATTGCTGTTTTCGAAAGAGCAAGATGATGACGGCCAAATTTTAAACTCAAGGCATGAAAATGGTAATCCGCATACCAGTGGGTTATGTTACGATGTCGATGCTCATCTTCTCTGTGCAGGATTTTTGATGGGCAAGTAGCTACTGTATTGCCATGCGTAGTGTCCTCAAGTTTTCAGTCAGATCCACCCAATTATCAGCATTTTAAGGCTCATAAATTGCTTTCCTCTAAGCACTAGCATGCACAGGACATGCTGGAATAATGTTGTTTGGATCGGTCCGAGCCACTTTGTTTCCCATTTCCAGAGCTGGGACAGTGTACAAACACCAGAACCGACAGCGAGCGGACCATCGATGAATATTCACTGAATTTGAAGCGTATTGGAATAGAATCGCTGACTCCACCTTTAATTTCCGTATTAGACAAGTGGCAGCAGAGAATAGCAAAGGCAGCTCTCAATACTTTGGATGAGGCCAAGCAGATTGACTTTGAACTTGGAAACAATATTTGGGTTCTGTGTTTACTCCCCTCTATCGGTGCTGTCAGGCTGAGTTAAGATAATGGTAAATGACAGGTCTGTGGATTGGAAAAAAGGGCATTTCAAGGCTGATGAATTGCTTCAAGTTGTGAAATGTGCTTTAGTGATTCTGTCCATCCGTATCTTCACAGGAGGCTGGCTTCACGGGTTTCATGCGCAGCCTGAGAGGACGTGACCAGGGGAAGGGTGTCAAGAGGAAGGAGGAGCTCTGAGGGCAGCTTGCAGGGGTTGGTGGTGGGGAGGGGGGGCAATGCACTGTGACCCTTGAGCCTTGCAAGGGCCCTATCAGCACTGACGTGGGAGACTCGATGACCTCAGCGAAAGGCTATTTTTTTATACCGTGTTGATCCCGTTTCTAATAATACCAACAGAGTACTTACAGTCAGACCAACCACTTGAGATCTTTTTGTTTTCATGGATATTCTGATGGGCAGAAAATACACAGACAAAAAAAAAAAAGGTGATTATTATTATTTTTGTTTTCTTTTTGCCCAATCACTGTGACTGAATATGTGAAAAGCTACACCCTATACTGTATCTATGCAATACTGACCCCTGCTTAGCCCTGTGCGTGGGCAGGGGTCTGTGTGACTGACTAACAACCACGGTGGTGGCTGGTGGTGGTTGGTTCAAGGTGGAGGCTGCACTGTCCATCACTCCACGAGGGTCCTCATCCAGTCCCATCAGCTCCGCTCTGTCTCCAGAGGACACCCATGCTGAATATTCACCTGTGGTTCCAATTTTTTTTTTTGTACAGAAACCTTTACGTCTCTAAAACCATCCAGAATATTGCTTTGTTATTCTCACAAATCATTTGGAAAATAATTGCATTTGTCACCAACATCTTCAAGAAAATAAACACTTGTACAGTAAAATGTGAAGTGCTACAGTAGGTAATAAGGTACTGTAGTCGTGTGAAATTGGTTTTGCTTGTAGAAAGGACTTGGAAAAAATGTTTAGTTTCCTCAGAACTGTGGCCTTAAAGATATAAAAATATACAATACCTGGAATTGCGGAAATATAATAAATGGAGGGGGAGTCAGAGGCCTGGTGCCCTTGGAAAGTCCCTCGTGACGCAAACCAGACCACGTCAAAAGAAAAAGAACAAAACATGAAATGCCAAATATTACTGCAAATCGCCCTTTGTATGTTCATGCTTTGTACATTTCCAAGTGTGACTAACGTTTCCAGCGGTAGTGATGTTTTACCTGTTGTTTCCTCCTCTGTTGCTCGTTCAGACTGGGATCGTATTAATGTTTTAACAAGGGTAGGGCTCATTTCCATAAGCATGGGAGATGCTCAAGCGTGACGGCTAAATATTGCATGTCGATCATAAAATGTCCAAAACATGAATCTTACCTCCCATCTACTGAAGCAATCACGGATTCTGCTGAACATCCCACAGTCCCCCTCTGCATGCACATACTGCTGGAATAATTTAGACCTCTGGTTTACCCTTTGCAATTCAGGTTTCTTTTTTTTTTTTATTATTATTATTATTCTTATTTTAAGGTTGCCCAATCTGTTTTGCATTTCCGCCACTTTCTGCTGAACCGAACAACACCAAGGAGTCGAAATAACAGCACTCTGGACATTTTCGCCTCAGTCTGTGTCTACCTGCCTTGCCTTGGCCTGGAATTACTCTGCTTCGATTAGCCCGGACAGTGCTCTCCCATGCCTTCCATCATATTTCCAAAACGGATGACTTCACACTACATCCAAGGAGTAATTAAGTATGAGGTGAAGTCTCCAGGTCCTCTTCCATTTCTCGCAGCATAACACCATCAGTTTGGGGCCGTCATCATCATTACCTTTTGTGACAACTTTTTTTTTTTAATTTTGTGTTTTCAACTCCCATGCTTCGGCCTCTATGAATATTTAAAGGCTTATCTGTAGCTGAACTTGTGTTTTATTATTCAACACTTTGGTTTCTTTCATTATGAATAAGGTTCTCAGGGATAGCGAAACACAGTTAAAGGGAACTCGTTTGTTTGTAATTTTGCATTCCAGCGGAATAATTTTGAATCCTTAGGTCACCAAATTAAATATTGTTTACATTTATATCCCAAGGTATAAAAAAAAAACAACAACTATTGAATTGTCCTTTCTCTGTGCTACATCATGACATGTATTGATTAATGTTGTCAGTAGACATTACTGAACCATCTCAAATTGACATTGTGATTCTTGATGAACTCATTCCAAGTGAAGCTGTCTCAAATGTTCTGGCTGGCACCAAACACATTTTTTGTGTGTGTTCAGTGTGGTTGTTATCACTTCATGATATGCAAGAGCATTTTGAAAGAGTGCTTTCTATATTAGGTGTTGGGTGACATATCGCTGTAATTAAGTGTTCACTCTCCTCTCAAGGTGCAACAATTACCTTTGATTACTCTGTTTTTGTTTCGAAGCATCCGCACTGACGTCATATATTTGGTGAATAATAGACAGACTTTATCCCTTATCCCAAAGGTATCCATGCTGTGTGGGAATTTTTCACACTTATGCCAAGAAGTCATTGTTGCCTTTGTTGTTTTCTTTTTTTGTTTGTTTGTTTCTGTGCCCAGCCATATGTACAGTTTTGCCCCTTGCAGTAAGGAAAAAAATAATAAAGCCAAACATTTCCAAAAGGGTTTTCCACTTGCTTTTGTATACGATACAGGTCTCTGCTGTATTTGTGTTATTTTGCAATTGATTTTCATTGAGTAACTTGTGAGCCACATCAGAGATGTGGCAACAACTGTTGAATTGACCTTGATTCATCACATTCATGGTTCCCAGAAGAGTATCCTCCTGTATGCAACCTACGCCATAATGCTGGTAATGTTTGTTTAATGTGAAATGACTTGGCAACTGCTGAAGTGACTGCCATTAAATTTTGGATGGTGGATCGGTGGTTAGCACAATTGACTCACAGCAAGAAGGTCGCTGGTTCGCATCCCGGTGAGAACACCCGGGATCTTTCTGTGTGGAGTTTGCATGTTCTCCCCGTGCAGCGTGGGTTCTCTCCAGGTTCTCCGGCTTCCTCCCACACAGTCCAAAAACATGTTGAGGTTAATTGGTGATTCTAAATTGTCCGTAGGTGTGAATGTGAGTGTGCTTGGTTGTCTGTCTCTAAGTGTAGCCCTGTGATAGACTGGTGACCTGTCCAGGGTGTCCCCTGCCTTCACCCTGAGTCAGCTGGGATAGACTAGTGAGGATTAAGCAGTGTATAGATAATGGATGGATTTATATCCGTTTTGAGAGTTAGAACACATTAACACTCCATAAAACAGAAACAGACACTGTAGACGCACACAATAACATGCTCATTGGTACAGCAGAAAGGAAAATATGAAGAGTTCATGTGCAAAAACAGATAGCGCCATCGTCACAAACCTTCAGAAAGCCCACTTTTCCATCGTCTACCTGAGACAACATTAATCAAACTTAAGTCATCTCTATTTTTTTCATGTTATTTCTACTGAGTCAAATCCACTCAACTTCAGTTTGACTGACATTATCTCAGGCAAACAACAAAAAAATAAGTTTTCTGAAAATCTACAAAAATGGAGTTATCTGTTTTTGCAAATGAATTCTTCATACGACAACATGTTTTAAGTTCATTTAAGGTAGACCAGCAGGACCAGGCTTTGCAGGTGGAACCGTAACATAAATAGCAGTTGACCTTGTTGGGTCGCTGCGCTAATGGACAGTCCTGGTGGAAGCAGTTTTTTGTGCTCGTTTGTTTTGACTTTTTCTTTTTTCAGGTCTGAATCTCAGAAGGGAAACAAATGGACCACGAGCAGCCTTCAGCACATCTGACACTGATGGCTTTATTATGAAAAATCGCTGGAAAATGGCCCTGGACCTAAATGTGACCCTGCTTGCAGTGACCTCAGTGGAAATCTGCTTCACTGCCTGAACTTCTGCATTTCAAAGATAAAAAAAAATGCACAAAATATTATAAAACCATTCCTCCTAGAACCAAGGTCTGAAAAGTGATGTGCACAGTTCAGTCCTCACGCCTCAAGGCTTGGTCTAAACTGAGGTGTGACTTTGAAGTTTCTTGTGTTGGCAGTCTGTGGGTCATGCAGGTGTGCTTAGATAAAGTGCTGTTGTTGGGATGCGTGCAGCGTTTAGCCTTAGCAGGCTGATTAATGCCTGTGAGCACAGGCAGAAATACCCTCTCAATCCCAATTTGACTTTAGAGGATTTTCAAAGGGGCGGAGCACTTCTTCATGCCTGGAAGGATTGCTTCACTGCCGCTTTGTGAGGTTTTCGTGGAGGGGAGGGACGAGCGTTTAAACCTGGGGAAAATGAGCGTAAGAAATGGAGGACGTGGGGTGGTGATCACAAAGTCAAGGTCTGCTCCGATTCAACTTCCCTCAACAAAAGTCATTTTTACCTTTATGGATAATTGTGTTTGGGTTGTTCAGGATTTTATCTCTGTGACGTCAATCTGCATTTTGTCTTCATCCACCTACTCATCCTCCAACTCACCTCTACTTCTCTCTCTTTATTTTTCCATTAAAGCCCTCATATGACCCCTTCATTTTTCGGATGCATCACTAAAAAGCCACCACGTTGTTGATTTTGTTGATCTTTTCTGTATATCTTTCGTTCCTTTTTTCTTTTACTCATTAGTTTGCCAATGTTGGGACAAATTTGTCCAAGCAGCAGAAGTCAATAAAATAAATATCTGCAAAGGGGAGATAAAGATTTTCTTGTTTCTCTTTTCTCGTGACATAGTAATCAAACTCATTTGCATCAGTCAATACTGACAAGAACAGCATCCCTTCTATAATATTGTTGACAGAAATTACTAAATTATAGTTAAGGAAGTTCATAGGGAAGATGCCATGAAAATGCAACCTACATCCACGACTCAAAGGTGAAACTATCATGACAAAATTAGTTAATAAATTCCATGTTTAATGACGAAAAATATTGATGTTTCTGCAATTTAGAGAAAGAAAAATCTATATTCTGTTACAGTGACTGTATGGCTGTTGCCTGATTTTGAGAGTTTCAAGTGAAAATGACCTTTAAACTGAAGCTCAAATGTTTTCCATGTATTTACTCTTCTTTGGCAGCAGCCTGTGTGCTCTAGACAACTTTAATTTGGTCATTAATTATTCAGCAGGTTAGCTCAAGACATTTACTGTCAGTTATTTATAATCAATCAGGATGAAGACCTCACTATTTTTGTCAACACAAACACTGACATCCAGTAGACTAAACTTCACTAGCATTGCATACCTAGATTTAGGAAGTTTATCCCATCCCCTGTCCCTTCTTATCAGCCTGGATAGAATTGGATGCCATCTTTAGATCTTTAAGCTGATATTGCCTTTTTTCAGTCTGTGCTGTTCCTGGGTCACGTAAGGACAGGCGCTAGTTCTCTTTCAGCTCTTTCTGTGTGTCTCTTTATTCATCCTTCCATCACCTCTGGCCACTCACCCCTTAAGCATGATGCTGCCACCACCATGCTTTCCCATAGGTGTATTAAAAATAGGAGTTCTGCCCCAGGAGTTACATTTTTTGCTTTATCAAAGCAGAGAATTATTTTCCTCTTGCTCTCAAAGTCCTTTAAATGCTGTTTGGCAAGCAGGCTGTCATATGCCTTTTATTCAAGAGTGGCTGCAGTCTGGCCACTCCACCATAAAAAGCCTGATTGATGGAGGGCAGCTTAACCTTCCAGCACGTTCTCCCATTTCTGCAGAGAACTTCTTATGTTCTGTTGTTTTAGAGTGACCACTGGATTCATGGTCTCCTACCTAACCAAGACCATTTTTTATTGGGTTTATCTGGATGCCCAACTCTGGAAGAAGTCATGGCGGTTCCAGACTTCTTTTATTTCACAAGTATTAAAACCATTGTGCTCCTGGCAGCAGTCAAAGTGTGCCTTTCTGAACAGGTTTCATGCAGAGGTTAAAAAACAAAAGACATTATAAATCAAGCACAAAGAAAGAATAAATTAAGTGTAATGGCAAATTGAATGTATTTGCGAAAACATTGTAAAACCCTCTTGTTGTTTAATTTGCCTTTGTGGGTTATTGGGTGTAAATTGAAAAGCAGAAATTACATTTTAGCAATTTAAAATAAATCTGCTATGCAATAAATTGTGCAAGAAGTGAAGGGGTCAGAATACTTTCTGAATCTCCTGTACATGCAGTTCAACACTAGAAAAAACAAGATATGAAAGCACTGCTGTATTGTAGTAACTCCATAAAATTCTTAAGACGTAAATTAAAGAGGAATTATTAAATCAGATGCCACAGAGCAGCAGGAAGAAGATATAAAACATTTCTTATGATGTGTTTTGCTGGAGTAAAACCCAGCCGGTCGACTTAATGGCTGTCATTGAGTCCAAGCCCCAACTTTGTACTGCAGACTCAATCAGGTAGAGAGTCACCAGGGACACCTCAGCATTACATTCATATGTGATTACTGAACAGATCCTTCCAAAATCATGGACTGCTGCTCTATCAACCTCTGCTGTTCTGGTTTTAGGTTCTCCACAAGACTTTGGAGCCAAACTGCAGGGATTTGCCCCCAATTAGCCACAAGAGCATTAGTGGGGTTCTACACTGATGGGCAGCAATATCTGGCTCAGTGGGCATGACAGTATATTCCACATGTGTTGGACTGGGTTGAGGTCAGAAAACGGCAAACTGGGAAAACATTTTCTTTATGGATCTGGCTTTGTGCACGGAGGCATGCACAAAGCCAGTCAAAGCTGGAAGCCCTCAAGTGTCTAGAATTTCACTATATGCTGTTGCATTGAGATTTCCCTTCAACCAAACTCGGAGACCTTGCCCAAAATCATGAAAACTGCAGTAGAGAAAGAGCACCACTCATCCCCGGGTCTTTCACAGAGGAACACTTTTAGATTCTGATGTTCAGCACCGTCCTCAGGGCAAACGATCCTTTTAGAAACAGTGTGTGTATGTTGTTCAGTCTCTTGCTTTGTAATTGCAAGGTGGGTAACACTTTATAATAACTATCCGTTATAACTAGTTAATAGATCATTTGTAAACTGTTAATTAGTGCGTTATTAACCACTTGTTAAGTGTTTGTTAATAGTTTGTTAATGATTTATAACGATGCCTTATAGATAGTTAATAAACCATTTACAAACTGTTAGTTAATGAGTTATAAATGACTTGTTAACTGTATATTAATGATTTACAGCCATACCTTATGAACCAGTCATAGATCATGAACAAGTCATTAGTGAATTACTTACTAATGACTTGTTAAGTATCAGTTAATAGTTTATATATGTTATTGAGACGTTATTCTAAAGTTGCAACCTCTGCTGTTCTGTTTTCAGGTTCTCCACAAGACTTTGGAGCCAAACTGCAGGGATTTGCCCCCAATTAGCATACCCCCCAAAAATCATAAGGTTTTCAATGTTTGTCTTTTTATTCATAATCATTCATCCCCAAGACAATTCGATTAGGAAAAACAGATTTCATAAATTTCCTAGAAAGATATCGAGCTGAAGCAAGAAGCTGTTCTGCGGTTTTATTTTTAGACATGACATTTTTTTATTTATTTTTTTTAAAGAATTCCCTCCATTGAAATGTATAATGATGACATCCCGGGAAAGAGACAATTGGCGCTGATGCATTTAAATGGCGCGAATGTGTTTGCACCTCTAAGACCGTGTCACAGTGAATGACGACACTGCCTTCCACCAACCTGACATCTCCTGCACTAAACACTCACTGAGACCTGTGGCTATTCATCAACTTGTCAGCAGCAGCAGACATCCATCATCCCACTTTCGCAGTGTGTCTGTCTTCCTCCCTCACTTTCACACACACACACACACACACACACACACACTGAGGCCATGAAGGTACTGAGGAGGTTCCTTCAGGCTGACACATTGCCCGGGCTCTGGGGTGATTACATGGGAATGTGTGAGGGATGAGGCCACTAACCGTTTCTGTACTGCTGTTTTCATTTCCTCTAGCCACAGTTGTGTTTTCTTATATATTCTAGCAGGAAATGTATGACACTTGAGGAAAATGCTGATGCCGGTGAATGGCCTATTTCAGGTCTGAGTGGAGCGCTAAAGCTCGGCAGGGCTCTGGGTACACGTTATTCATTTTTCATGTTTTAATTTCAACATTAAAAAAGATCTCAGCGTCAGATGCTTGGGAGCAGGGCTAATTTGTTACTGGCCTTCTGTGGGAAAGTAACAACTGGAGCAAGAAGAGATCAGAGTCAAATGTAGTGAAAATGTAAATTATGAAACAGTGTCTATCACAAAGATAATGAACTCATGAATATTAACAATCTCAGCTGAAAAGCGATGAAAGAGTATTCTGCAGTAGCACCATATTTATTCATGCCGTACAACCTTATTGAACTGTATTTATTTAGCGATATTTTGTTGTAAGATATTATCTCCTCTGTTATGATTGTTTTATGTGTATGTCTCTGTTTTGTGTTGCCCATTTCTTTTTTTCTTTTTACTTTGTGATGTGATTTTGTTTAGAAAAGTACTAAACAGGGTCTCCTAATATCTGATCAAAAGCTCCAGAAGAAATCTTTTAAATTGAGGTTCCTATTATTTAGAATTATAATTTGATTGTTTAATAATTGTCGAGGTCAAGACGAGAACTACAACACCAAGGAAACGTTCAGATAAAACTGCATGTCTGCTGAAAAGAAAGGCAAGGAGCTGCAGGATGGTTTAACTGATATAGTTTTGGTGTTCAAACAAACCTAACTTTAGATTCTTCAGATGGAAATCTTACCTGCTACCTCTTTGGAAAAGTCAATGTATAAAGTCTGCAAAGCAACACATGAACAAGCCAGATGATGTACATTCTTTAAGTTCATGAAATATAAGCAACAGTGCATTAACTCATATATTTAGGCCTACTTCTTCTGAATTTT